TTAAGTCCCCACAGCAGCCTACACTGCATAAATAACAGTCAATGGGATTCACTCAAAAGTTGAAAACACTGCGCTTTCAGCTGCTTTCAGCTTCTCGTTTCTGAAAGCGCCCAGGCAGGTCCGCAATTCTTCAAGGCTGGGTGTTAGTCGATGAGTACGAGGTTGCGACAAGATCAGATTTCCCCTCAGGAGCTTATGCATGGGGTGCAGGGATCATGTCCAGCGGCACAAGCGGTCGGGGCGCCCCAGTACTACTCCCGGACGCCTTGTGACCGTGTGACTTGATTGCGGTTCTCCGATGCTTTCTTTCATTCGTTTTCAGATTTGATGATTCAGCATCGCTACTAGGAGCAAGAAGCTACTAGGAACATTAGGAACAAAGGGCATCGCTACTAGGAGCAAGGACGCTACCAGGGGCTCCTGGCCTTACTACTAGGAGCAAGAAGCTACTAGGAGCATGCTCATGTTTAAGAGGATTTAGATTTGATGATTACGACCCCCGGCCCATGGGGGTCACGCCCGAAATGGTAGTTAAAGGTCGACATAAGGCCTAGGTTCATCGAGAGCCTCTTATGTTGTTCGCGAACATGTTTTTTTAGGTGTGCTTCGCGAAGAACGGCGCTTTCGTTAGAAGGAATTTAGATCAACCACCAAATAGACTTGAAGCCTTTCCTTGACTTGTCACCAAGTAGCCATTCTATTTTGCCTCACATTATTTGATACATCCATGGCTACTCACCAATGCCGGAGCTGTTTACCTTTGCCTTTACAAAAGGTGCTGATGTCTCATAACTTTCCATGATTGTCCTTCCAGAGAGGTGGGGGATGCATTTATTCAACCTTTGAACTTTGAAATGTGGGTTTCTTTATGTGTTTTTTGCGTCTTACAGGTTTCATGCTTCCTTTGCTGACCTCCCGAAGCAATACCATGGTTTGGCACTGGTTGGACCTGATTGATCACCGAACAGCCTTTGTTTGATTGGTAACAAAGAGGTTTTGAACTCAGTTTGGCGCAGACACCACAAGTGCTTGGACAATCAAGAAGCCCTTGGAGCAGAAATGTTGTGCTCATTCCCTTTCGTGGGCACGGAGCTACTAGTAGCGTCCTTGCTCCTAGTAGCGATGCCCTTTGTTACTA